TTTTTGAGAAGTTTTCCGGTTTGAGTGGTTTTCACTGGAAGTTGGGTCGTGTAGTTAGGGAGAGAAAAATAGTTGTTGCAGTCGAGTACTTTCAAGTCATTGTTTTGTTGTTGGTAGTTATGGGTTTCTGAGTGGTCTCTCGTATTTTCTTTATTAGATGCCTTGATTTCGAAGTGGTTAGAGGGGGCTAATGGAATATGTTGGCATTGTTTTCAGAGATTCTAACCAAGACAGATTTCAAGGACGAAATCCAGTTTAAGTGGGGGGGAGTTATAATACTCGTTTCAGGCATGCATCAATTCCTTTAACTTTCAGAACGTTATTCTTGGGCGGCCACGACGTGGTGGGGCTTCACCATGACGTGGTGTTATTTTCTTGACTGTGGATTTAAATGACCCGCGACAGTGTGTCAATGGGTGTCACGATGTGGCAGCTAAATTTAGAGAAACCCTAATCTATAGGCTTTGGGCCATATATAAAGGACATTATGGCTAGGGTTTCATGATTTTTCAACCTCCATTACCTTCTCAAGACCAGAAATCCTAACCCTAGCATCCCTTGTGTGACATTAAGCTTTTTGTGGTGTTTGGTTGCATTTTAAAGGAAGAAAAAGAAGGTGCTAGCCCAAGGATTAAGCAACAACTCCTCCCATCCTTGGAATCACTCTCTGGACCATTTATAAGTCCTCAAGCTTCCATCTTGATGATTCTTTGGTTGTAGATCTAGCTTTATTAGCTTACTTTGGTCCATAAGTGATGTTTGTTTGGATTGATGTGATAAAGGTTGCAACTTTATGACTCTCATGAGTCCTATGAGCAATATATTTTGTACATCTAGAATTTGGTTGAGATTCTTAGCCTTGCATAATTTTTGGTCACCTTTTGCCCTTTTTGACCTAAAAATGGAATCTAGACATGTAATGGGCATGCATGTCTATAAAGCACTCAACTTTATGTTAGATATGCTATTAGAAATTCCTCTAGAGTTGGTTGGACTAAGGAGTTTGAGGAAAAGTGCTTAATGATTAAGCCCATGTCATGGTTTTGCCTTTATTGAACCATTAATTGGAGCTCTTTTCTTATTGAAGTGTCTTAATGGATAAAGTTTGAAACTTAATCCATTATGGCATTGAGAAGGAGTATATTTGGATTTTTGAACCTTTGGTTTTGAGTTAAAAGGAGCTTAACTCGATTAAGCTAATCAGATTGTTCCGCACGGCGTAGCACTAGGCCGCCATGGTGTGGTGAGTAGGGACCAGTCGACTGTTTTGTCATCTTATGCCCACAGCATGGCCAAGGAAGGCCACAACATGGAGGATTTGCTAATGGCTGTTGTATTCTTTGACTTGAGTTGACCTTTGGCTAACCCTTAGCTTTTGTAGGTAGACTAAGGGTTTACCTTGTATAACTATCTAGGTGTGGAGTAGCACTTATGTTGTTGGCAGTGAGGCCAGGAGCAGTTAACCTAACCTAATTTGAAAGAAAATGACAATTTCAGATCGTTTCCATCCATCGATATCTTCTGCCTTCGACTTTCATTCTCACTAGTTCATTATCTGCGGTCCATCTCTCCTCCACCATCTGCGAGTTCCTTAACCATCTTTAAAGACCAAGGTACTTGCTTCAATTCCTCAAACGTGTGTGGAATTAGATTCAAACTATGGTTGTTTCATTGTTCGAAAATTGGTTAATGCTTATAGTTTATGAGTTTTAGCTCATCAGTGCCTTCTTCAAACTCCTCTGGTCCATCTCTTCTCCACCATCGGAGACCAAGGTTAATACTCTGATTCTTCAAATCTGTTTGGAATTAGACTCAAATCATGACTGTTTGAGTTATGTTTGATGCTTCTCGGTTGATGCTTATGGTTTATTGTTTGATGCTTCAAGCCATGAGATTTTTCCATTTGAAGATTTGTCATCAGATTGTGTTTGATGCTTATAGTTTATTGTTTGAGATTTTTCCTCCCTGTTTATGGCTATTTCAAAAGCAACATAGAACATAGTAGTAAAATGATATACTTAATCAATTGTTGTCCTAATAGATGTTATACCCTAGAGAATTCACTGCCCACAACAAGCCAAGAGACTAAAGTGAACAACTTTTGATTAATTCCATGAAGAAAACTTGTGATTGGTTTGCTTTCAATCTTTTCAAATTGTTTTCTTTTATACTTTTATTTTTGAAGATCTGAAGAGACTTGATTTCAATGTTAATAGACTTTTCTCCCAAGAGATCCCAAGTGATGTTACAATCCACAAAGGAGGTGTTTCTTTTTCATTACAAAAGGTAAATTCATGTATACCCTCTTGATATTAATCCTCTTATGTAAGTTTATATTTTATTTTATCAACTCTATGTAGTTTCCATTGCTTTCAACTTTTAAAGCATGGTTACATAAAAAAGTTAGTATCCAACCCCAAAGATTTTGATCTTTTTGTAATTGAAATCTCTGATATCACTAGAGAGACTCTAATGGATTTGAACTTGCAACAAAGTTTTTGTATGGCATTAACTTTGAATTATCAACAGAAAACATTTCCATGGTGAGATGTGTTTCAGAGTTTCTTGAAATGACAGAAGATTATGCAGTTGGTAATCTTATAACAAGATTAGAAGCTTTATTTAAATAAAGTAGGACTTAAAACATTGCGTGGTGTTGTTTCCATTTTCTGGAAACATAAATGCGGTCTTAAATATTGAAGTTTGTTTAATTTTCTTATTAATTAATGTATAAGCATAAAACACAACGAGATTGTGGATTAATCATATAGATTTGTTGTAGAATTAGTTAGCGCATTCGATTTATATCTGCATTTTGGGTTTATAGAATTATTTAATGATTTTTTTAAAAGATAAAAATAGTACCGGTTGAATATTAAAGAACTAGGATATAAAGAAAAAGAAGAATGATCTTGTGATTTGTAATAGAATTCGATTTGTGCATGAAAATTGGGTTGTATAGCCACACAAAATCTATCAAGGTATGGAAAATAAAACTTGGTTTACATATGGGAACCAGGCTTTATTTCACTTATATGAACCGGTTGCAAAATCGAATCCTATTGAGTTTTCCGCATAGGACTCGCTGAATATAAGACCGGGTTGAAAACTGGGTTTTATAAACCTTTTTGTAGTAGTGATGTACATTAATTTGTTAACGACTTTTAGTCGAGAGTAATGTACTTGGTTTGATCATATTTCCTAGTTGAGAAAGAAATTTAGAGACAATTAAGGAGACTCGGGAAGAAATTTAGATATTTTAAGAGAATTTCACAAGAAATTGTTGTGAAATCAAAACTAATAGTTCATCATTATATCATACCGGAGGTAGTTCCTCTAACATTTTCTTAAATCATTAAATTAATATCAGTTTGCAAAAAAAATGTCTAATAAAGTTATCAAATTTATTTTCTATCAGGTTGTTACTTTGCAAATTTAATATTAGTTTGTGAGAGTATTTCTTAGAAAAAAATGATCATTTTAACAAATAGTTAGGATATCTAATAGCTTCATCAATGATTTCTAATAAAGACCAAGGTCGAGTGGTATACCCATCACGAATCCGACAGCGGTCTAGGTGGCCATGAAAATTTTCCATGCACACCAGCTCGAGGTTTCACGGTGATCCGTGATCGTGATTTTTTGTGTTGGCGATGACGAATCCAAATGACCAATCGTAGACCTTTTATCTTTTTGACCGTTTAACAGTCATTTTTCAAGTTTCTAATTTTTTTTTTACAAACTCAATACCTATGAATAAAATTCTCATTTTTCATCAAATTTTAAATATTTATTCTCTAAAAACTCTCATTTTTCACCAAAAAACACATGGATTTCTTTAAAAATTTTGGCTCGAATGATGAGGGAGAATTCATCTCAACCTTCTTCGATGTCGTGCAACACCATTACAATGAATAAAATTCTAATTTTTTTTACTTATATTTGTTTGTTTTTTTAATTATAGGTTATTTAAGTAATGTAATATATTTTTTTTTAAATTCTAGGTTAATTAAGTAATATAGTTTGAAGTTGTATTCTTATTTTTTATAATTAATAAAAAAACTAGTTAAAAAATTCAATGATTTTTTGTTATTTTCAAAAAATGTAATTTTATTGTATTTTTAAATTAAAAATAATAAAATAAAATGATATGGAGTGGTGAATGGTGGTATCCCATAAGTTTATAATAATTAGTGGTGATAACGTAACATCCACCATTATAATGATTAGTAATAACTATAACGAATGGTATAATACAAATATAAACACAATTCATGCTTCTTTCTATTCTATTCACAACCCAATCCAACCAAAACATTACACACGTTGCTAACGGTTTGCATATTCCATCTAAATATAATAGGAATCGAAACATTTTAATGAGTCGGATAATTAAGTTAACTTTCTATGTATACACACCACAAACCACATATATTAAAAACAAATAAGAAATGCCTATTTACATCACTTCCTTCTTCTTCCGAAACAAAAACAAAGTAGAATGACATACCAACCACCATCGGGGCGTTGGGGGAGGGAGAGGCAGCAAAATGGATAGCTGCATACAAATATAAACACAATTCATGCTTCTTTCTATTCTATTCACAACCCAATCCAACCAAAACATTACACACGTTGCTAACGGTTTGCATATTCCATCTAAATATAATAGGAATCGAAACATTTTAATGAGTCGGATAATTAAGTTAACTTTCTATGTATACACACCACGAACCACATATATTAAAAACAAATAAGAAATGCCTATTTACATCACTTCCTTCTTCTTCCAAAACAAAAACAAAGTAGAATGACACACCAACCACCATCGGGGCGTTGGGGGAGGGAGAGGCAGCAAAATGGATAGCTGCACAAGGTCTTTTTTTGTTCGTCCTGAACCTTTAATAATATTTAATTTTTCAGGACCGGCCCTCCATCCACACACACACTTTCTCTTCTTAATATCTTAATTAAGAAACCAACAACACCATATGTCGTACTCATTGCCCCCAAGAAACCAGGCTCCTATCCTTATCATCTTCGGATACCGGCTTCAGAGAGCGAGGAAGAGGGAGACTTGATTCTGACACTGATGTTGGTAGTGATACTATTGGTTGTGGTTGATTTGGTTTTGGACCATAAGTGAAAGATAGGTCCCTGTTAGAACCAAGTGCCAACAGTTCTTTCTCCTCTAACCCTTTCGCAGGGCCCAAGCTACAACGATCAGTCGTGTGCTTTGCTAAAGCATCTTTAAATTTCTTGATCTGCATGATAACAATACTTGTTTCTTTAGCATTTACATTAACAAAAACCAGAAAAACGGTGAAAAAGAACAAACCGTGGCATTGGTGCAACTAAAGCCGCAAACACGACCTTCGGCCCCTCTATAAAAACGAAAGAATGGAAGAACATGAACGTTGAGGCTATAACACATGGACTTATGCTCCTCGTAGTTCACCTGTAAAAACTGTACGTCGGGATTCATCTCCGCCAATTGACATATCTACAATCACCACAAAACATCAATATCTATTCATCGTATTCATGTATATAAATATATGGAAAATATATAAGGGTACCTTGGGATGAAGAGCTCTACAGCCTCCACAACCAGGCGAGAAGAAATCAACGATGACCAGCTTATCACCTGCATTTAGAAGAGTGTTGACGAGATCCTCTGCTCCGGTCACCTCCTTCATGTTCGGTTTAAGACCTTTCTCCCACCATTTTAAAGCTTTCCCGATGCTAATACCTCTTTGTTGACCTCCGACAACCGTTCTCCGGTCAATAGTTTTAGTGCCGGCTGATGATCGGATTGTGGAAGATGCTCTAAGGTTTGAAAAAGCTGGCATCTGAATCATCACCGGCGAAAGTTTCTTGAATCTATCACATGCGTTATCATTATTGCAGGCTGAAAACTTAAAACTTCTACTAATCTTCCCTATGACATCAACCATTTTTTATTTCCTGATTTACTTGATTTCCCCAGATGAAATTGCTTCAAAACGAAGATTCAGAAAATGAGGTTTTGGGTTGCTTGCTCACCTGATACGTGTAAGAATGAGGAAGTTCGCGGGAATTTGAAGAAATTATCTGGGGTTGTTGCTTTCTTCAATTTCCTTTCAAACGACTTCGTACTTTGTTTTTTAGAATCTTGATTGTTCGCCGTCTACTCTAGCATGTCGATAAGATCCGACGGCAGTTATGATGCCACTCTGCTTTAGCATGTCGATAGGATCAATGGCAGTATCCAGGGCCACTCCTTTTGTAACAGGTCGATAAGATCGGATGGCAGTAACTGCTGCCACGACATAAGCCTATAGTTCTAATTTTGGCCCTTGTACTTCTCATAATATTTCATGTTTCAAAACTTTCACTTAACTTGAGTTAAGCATCCACACAACGCTTTGAAGATTATAATCATACGATTATTACAGGTTTAGTTAAAAGTTTGGTTTTTTTTTTTCCAAAGAAATTTAAGTTCACAAAACAAAAGTAAAAAAAAATCAATATGTAAGGTATTTATGAAATACACTTTTCTTTTTAAACGAGGGACTACATAAAGGGACAGGTACCGATAGATCGGGTCTCAAACTATATATTTCTAAGGGCTATTGTTATTTAAAAAAATCATCAACTCCATCTTTTATATTTAATGATGGGTTTTATATAAGTGTGTTTTTCATAAAAACTACAATAAAAATCTTATAAAAATAACTAGTTCATTTTTAAGTTTAGGGTAAATTAGGCCTGTCAAATCGGGCCGTCGTGTCGTGTTTTTGTCTGACACGACACGACACGACAAGGTTTTTTGTAACACGAACACGACACAACACGATGTCGTGTTTTTTTTCACTAACACGAAAACGAACTAATTAAAAAACGACAACACGACACGACACGACAAAGATAATATTACATAACTATTATTTTATTTAATTCATATTTAATCATATATAACACGATAAAAACGACAAACACGAAAACACGACAAATACATGCTCAATCGTGTTAATTTCGTGTGGATTTGTAAACACGAACACGACACGACACGACATTGTGTTTTTTAAACTTAACACGAACACGACACGAAAACGAATTCGAATTTTGATTTCGTCCTGATTTCGTTTCGTGTCGTGTATTTTTGTCGTGGCGTGTCATAAATTGACACCCTTAGGGTAAATTACACGGATGGTCCATGTGGTTTAGGGTAATCTGTGTGGTTGGTCCGTAATAATTTTTTTTAACTCGGACCATCCCTACTTTATACTTTTGTTGCACGCTTAGTCCCTATCCGTTCTAAAAAGACTAATTTACCCTTATCCATTTCTTTATTAATTAAATTTTTATTTATTTATTTATTTTAATCTTATTCAAATAAAAAAATACATGTGGGCCCCTCCCTCCTTCCCCTTCAGCCTTCTTCTTCCCTCGACCATTCTCCCATCTCCGATTCCTTCATCCCAACTCCGGCGACTTCATTAAATCCCCGACAAACACCCACCAATCAAACCCTCCTTCGATTCAAGAACCCATACCATCGAATCCTCCTCCCCTCCCTTGCCTCCTTATGTTTAGTCGTCGGAAAATCTCACTCCTCTCACTGGAAAACGCCGGACTCCACCAAAAAAAAATAGATTCCATCAGACTCCTTTCCGCCAGAAAACGTCAGTCTCCACCGAAAAACTCCGATCTCCTCTCAAGAACCTACATTACCGACCATTTTCACCCTCTTTGGAAACCTTCAAATGACGTCGGTCCCCCTCCCATCCACCTACTCACACCACCCCTCCCTCTCATTTTCTTCTGATCGTACTCCTCGTATGAACCACTATCAACGATGAGATCAATCAAGCAAAAATCAAATACTAGAACCCAAATGAAAACCAAAATCAAATGACTAACACATCTAAACACACCAAAAATGAAAAATTGATATCTAAATAAGACCCAGATCTGGAAATCAAAATCTAAAATCCAATTATCGCAAATGCTTCATCCAATGACCCGTCAGTCTATCACCAAGAGTCACATAAACCCAAAGAAAAAATCACACAACACTTCGACTAATTGACCTCTGTCGGTTTCAATGGAAGGAGACAAGATCTATAGAGAGAGATCGATTTTCAAGGGAGGTGTTTCTGTTCGTCGGTAACCCAGATCTAGGGGTGATTTTTTTTCTTTGGGTTTCCAAAACTCGTCGGAGGTAAACCGATTGTGGTGTTAGGGGTTGCAACATTTGTTCTGGTGGTGAATCGTAGAGATAGAAGAGAAGGTGATGATGAGTGAGGATTTTCTCCAGCAAATGAATAAAAGAGGCTGACATATATTAAATTAATATTTTTTCCACTTTCATTAATATGTTTTGAATTAACTGATAATTTAAAAAGAGTAAAAAAATCAGTAAGGTTAAATCAGTCTTTTTAGAACGGATAGGGACCAAGCGTGTAACAAAAATATAAAGTAGGGACGGTCCGAGTTAAAAAAAAAGTTGTTAGGGACCAAACACGCAGATTACCCTAAACCACATGGACCATCCGTGTAATTTACCCTTAAGTTTATAACAAAACCAGACCATTTAGGATCCATTTATAAATGTTAGAATGATATTAAAAACAACCAAAGCGTGTTTCAGAATGACAATCTTTGAAGTCTTTGAATCCACCATGTTTTAGGGTGTTAATGAAGATAGAAAAATCAAAGTGTATGGTTTTCTCTACGAGTATTCACCATCAAGATAAGCCACTTGGAATGTGAGTTTCTTCTTGCATTCTTGAGTGGCTTCAGCTTTAAGTACTTAACTCAAATAAGCACTAAAGGATACAAATCAAGAGGGCTTCTAATCGCCAACACTTAACTTCAAAAAGAAAGATGGAGAGACCACAGAAATCTACGACTTTCTAGAGAAGAAAGGGAAAAAAGATGCACTTGAACAACTAGCCAAAATTCATGCAAGATACACTATTTTATAGTTGCATGCAAGATAAGGCTTGACATTAAAATACTCTAAAGTATTGGTAGCATTTAGGAGCACAGGAGACAAGGTATGAAGGTTGACAAGCAACCTCCACTCCTTTATATAAACTTTCGTCCATACCTTGATAAGGAAGAAGAATTGTTATAAATTTTATAAACTCAAAGTTTATAAAATATTAACTTTGTCTTTAGGTAAAAGAAAAAAAATCAACTAATCCAAAATGTTGTGCATGACTTATTAATCGATACCATATGAAATAATGACTAGTTATGTTGTCTTATAATTATTATTTTCATAAAAAATAATTATTCCCTAATTAAATAAAAGAATCATATATTATTAGCAATATCACTCAATAATGATTCTTGGGCAAATAGATTTAACAATCTCCCACTTTCAAAATATTCATTACAGATTGACATAGACAGTAGTTGGCGTCTAGCAACGGCCTACTGCCCCTAACAACATATGAAGGGTGTCATCTCATCAACAGTCAACTCTAGGAGCTCTAAGCTATAATTGTTATGAAAGGTGTTGTATCATTTATTCTTTTATCTCAAACATCATGTTGAACATGAGATATGGATCACCATCAATCTCATTTAGTGTTCAACTTTTAGTAAGGCTTTAGATGTCTAACTCTCAACGAATAAGAGGGAACAAATCCCATCTTGACTATATACGCCTTTCATGTAGTTCATGTCATACCCAACGATGACCCTTATGACTGCATTTTACGGAATAGCATTTAACCATGTCAAAGCACAATAACGCCTACACTTTAAGTCCCAAATATGTATCTCAAGTCTAAGAATACAAAGATACAACCTTGATCAAAATATCACTCATGAATACGATCCATAAAGTGATTTTGATATGGGTCAAGTACAATACTTAGTCTCGTAATCAAGTACCTTTGAAGTTGGTAGCAACTCTTGTTATTCTCATCTCCATGAGAATCAACCAATCCACTCCTATTAGTCTTACCTCATGGATGCTCCCATAACTATGAAAGACTATAGACATTTAGAATAACCTAGTTATTCAAGGATTTAAACATGCTAATATAGAACACAAAAATTATTTAATGAAAGACTCATATCCAATATATCAACTCATCACAATATATTTTTCTTGTATTGTTCTAATATCCAAATACTAAATTTCAATCAAATACATCTACTTATATCAACAAGGCCCTATAACACCAGCTTGACTTTCATGTTTTAGCTAATGAACGAGCTTGTTAAGTAGATTTGGCAACCTTGATTTGTATAAACTTCTCGAATACCTACATTTTCAGTTATATATATATATATATATATATATATATATATATATATATATATATATATATATATATATATATATATATATATATATAACTCATATATAGAGAAAACTATTGAGAATGTATTTGATGCTTAAATATGACTTAGATACCACTACTTGCGTAATGGGATTATTCATAGTCATGATAAACTATACATTAAGCATCTTTGTATGTGGTTCCCCAAACAACAATGTACTCTAACTCTGGTGTGTAACTGTAATTAAAATCTACATGGAACTACTATCCATGTAATTTCTCTTCATTCATAATTAGAACACTCCCAATTGAGAAACATCTCAATTTATTTGAAAGTTTAGCATATGTGCAACAACTTAAACATAGCTTCCTTTCAACTATTCCGTAAATTAGGAATATTCCTCTAGTTCTTGCAAGTACTTTACAATGTTCCTTTAATTCACACCATGACTTGTTCTCGGATTATACTGGTATCAGTCGACATGCTCTAAGCATACGACTTACCTAACCTTCATGCATAGTTATGACATATAGATTAATCCAATTGCAGCAACATATGTAATACAATTATATTATCTAGTTCAAAACATTGCACGAAGATTTTGAGGAGTGCTTAAAATCATGGCATGTGGTATTTTACAAGATAAACTCTCTCAGGGTCTTATATCTTAAGCTCCTTAAGATCCTTGACAATTAATACAATTTTACTTAATTTTTTAAGTTGTCATGGTCTATTTATATAGATTCTTATTCCAAGAATTAGTATGTCAACTACATATAATACTAGGAATGTTACTTCGCTCCCACTAACTTTATAGAAAACATAAGAATCATCTTGATTTATAATTAAATCACACTATGTAATTAATTTATAAGAAAGAAGATTCTTACTTTGAGATGTTAACTTTAAATCTTGAAATATTTTC